CTTGAAAAACAAATGAAACGGAACAATTTTGTTTATAATTTATAACGGTTTAAACCGATAAATCAAGTAAAAATAGAAATCCTATTTATATACACAAACTGGGATTACCGAAGTAACTAAAATAGCTTAGATTTCCGTAATATTACTCCGCAGTATGACGGAATCGCCCGAATTGTCACGATTGCAATCGGAACTACATCGGCTATTATCATTAATCCGAAGACTGACGGAAAAGGCCGAAAAGTTGCGATTGGCACGATTGCAGCTGGTTTCCTGTTCAATCATGCACCAACAGATGTAAGCAGGAAACCACCTAACCGGAACAAGTTTTCCAGATGAAATGGCTTCAAGCCAAAAAGGTTAGGCAGATCAATGCCACAACCTATAAAAATGAAAATAAAACTTTATGTTATCATATGTCTTGTTAGTGCAGTAGGTAGAGCAACCGTGTCAGGAATGTATTTTACCCGTACAGGCAGAAGTTCGAGTACTGGTTCGACACACTTTTTTTTACTTCAGAACAGTAAATTGTTCAGAAAACATTAAGTTTGACCGTTTTTTTTTTCAATATGAGATCAAATATTTTATTACACTGAGATCAAAAAATACAAAAAGAAAATATAGAAGAAAATAAAAAATATATACTATAAAATATATTATAAGAAGAAAACAAAAAGGAAATCGAAAAAATAAATAAATGATAATGATAAAAAAACAGAGCAAGAAGAAAGAACTATGATTATAAAATGGCACTACGTGGGGTTCGAACCTATGAGTACAAAACACTAAAAGTTACAATAACTTCGATCTACCTGCAGAGCCATAACGGATATACACCAACGATACTGTAAGAATAATGCTATATAGTATATATAAGTGTTTACTTTAACGATATCGGATAATATTCCAGATAACCCTGTTTTTGGACTTTCCCAGGTACCGTTAAGATCAAATTATCATCCTAGGACAGTACATTTATTTTATCAAAACTTATATTTAATTATAGACAAATTGATTACATGTAAACATTCCTAGACATTTAGAAGTTGTAAGGCACAAGGCCTTTTTTTCCTAAATCCAGGTAAAGAGCCAACTTGACCCATTTTTTTTTCACAAAAAAAGATTAAACAGTTTCATTGACATAGTTGTAGTAGCCTTCATTTTGGAGTCACATGCCATTTCCTAACGACCAAAGGGACCCGGCACAGTGTTGGGATAGTGTAAAAAAAGTAATTCTAGAAAAAATATATATATATATAAAGTATAAATTTTTTTCTAGAATTACATTTTTTACACTATCCCAACACTGTGCCGGGTCCCTTTGCTAACGACAGGCGAGGTTTGTGAAGACAGTGATTTAAGCAAAGCCAATCATATCACTTTGTGGAGTTTGGGATAGGGGGTCGCTATTTGCACACCATTTCATCATCATCATCATCATCATCATAATACATATGATTCATCCACATAAGGTGTCATAATCAATACAATAAAATTAATTAGACATTTGTATTCACTGCTAACATAATATATCTGTCCACAGGAAATTGACATTCTATAAGCAAATTATTAAAAAATAACGGCAAATGTACCCCTCTATACTATTTATATTTGCCGTTATTTTTTTATTTACTTGCTTATTGAATGTCAATTTCCTGTAATCTGTCATAATGGTTTGGGATATGTTTACGCACAGGAGCTTGAAATTCTATCAATAATTGCCCTAAAGTCAAATTCCCAAAAAAAATCCATACCTATTTTTATATAGGTATGGATTTTTTTTGGGAATTTTACTTTAGGGCAATTATTGATAGAATTTCAAGCTCCTGTGGTTTATGTCGCGAAAATACATTACATTTGATATTTTCCTTTTTGCAAATAATTTTTTTAACATAATTTGAAGTCTAGTTTACATATCTATTATAAATATATCAAATCATAGCCAATAAATTACTTGCCACTTAATCCTGCTCCAATAATTACTGTATCAAACTTTTTCCATTTTATAGGTCAGACACTCACATTGAGTTTCCCATTTTCACATTACCTGCATTTTCACAGAACCTGTTCCGAGTGTTCGGAGCCGCGAAAGGAATACGCCCATTATCTCTCTGTCATGGTCAGACACGCACATTGATTTTCCCACCGTAATCCTACCTTAAAATTGATTTTTCCTGCTGAAGGTGCTGGACGTGAAGTGGTTGTTGCACACTTGGTTCAAGCGAGGGAATTGGATTAAAACTTTACAAAATGGCTACAGTACCGAGTCATGAATATTTACAACACCCGTATGTATTTTTCATCAGGTAAGTGGGGTTGCATGCTATTTTGAAATTCTTTAATATGCCTATTCCTTGAAGCAATGATAGTGGCACATGCGGTTTAAACCCCCGACATCCGATCAGACTATCGGATGCAAATGAACCCTCTTTGTACATTGTTTTTTGATAGACGTCCAGCAAAAGCTGACTAAGTAGTATGTTTCTAAAAAATAGTTGAAGCAGATGATGAGTTTTTTCCAAAAAAAGCAAAGCAGAATTTAACTGATTTGTCTCAGAGAGACAAGAAAAGTTAGCCTAATTTCCGATCACCAGTTGTATGTTTCTGTTTGAGGACTTTTATGTTTATCCCTTGATGCCAAACGGTCAGATAGATATTCTTGTAATATTTCCTATTTTGACCCTTATCAACTACTATAATTATGGTATGATTTCTGGTATATTATTTTATACCTCAGGTATATTTTAATTACAAAGTGTATTGTTATGATGGTATCAGCAGAGATAAAACAAAATATCACATTTCTGTGGTTAATTGGCATACAACACTACAATACAGAAGGGGTGCCAGGGCTTGTAAGGTCTTATTTTTAATATATTATCTAATTAGTGCAGAGTTTCTGAGACAAACAATGTGAGAACTTGTTTTTTATTTCAAAGTTGATACAATTTAGTAACTAACATAATGGTATTTAACATTAAATGTGACTACACATTTTGTTTGGTGCTTTCATTGATTTGCGCTATTCAATATAAATGGATAAGTTTGTTTTGTCATTTTTACTGGTCACTAAGAGCAGAAACTTACCACATACGCTCTGCTTTTCCGCACTAATTGGAAGTCACCGATATTAAAGAAAAGAAATGAGGTCATTAACAATGCTTACATGGAAATATAGCTGATGCCATCAACTATATGTAACTATATAACTATAGTACTATTATAAGACAAAGAGCAGATGAAACTAAAGACTGAATAATGTTTTGTTCCTCACGTGTAAATGTAAAAGAATAGTCCTGAATGTAAAAAAGGTCAAGGCAAAAAAGCTATATATAAAATTTCAATAAAAATCAGATACAATTTTTTTTGTTCAATTATGTAAAAACACAATGCTTGGTGTAAAAGGAAGTAACTAAGAACCAATGTATAACTTTATTGAAGAAATGATAACTTCTGAGCACTCTGTTTATTCAACTAGACAAAATGTAATTCAAAATTTTGGGTTAAATAAAGTAAGGAAACTGTATTCTTATATACTAGTACAATCCTACACTGGCCTTAGTTGATGAAATTGAGAATTACTACTAGTATTTATAAGTTTAATATAATGTGTCTGTAAAATTGATACACTTAAAATAATGAGAAATACAAGCCAAAAGTTTTATCATTTCTTTATATTTTTATACAATAATTTTTTCATTTGATTCGAATTGAATTATTCTGACAAAACCTAGAAACAACATTATATCAAGTAAGTAAAATACTGATGCACTTATTGCATGTGCATGGATTCCCATGCGACCACATTGCTATGTTGACAAACAATGTGGTCACATGGTTATTTACCTAATAAACTCCTCCCCTCAGTTCAAATTTGAATTTCCGTTGTCATCTGATATTAAATTATAAGAACCTATTTCTTCATACATTTTGCAATTTCTTATCTAGACTGATAGATTAATCAAGATTCATTCAGGCTTCATTCAGTTTTTTTTCATTGGTAACAATTATCATTTTACATCAAATATTTAAAAAAAATATCTCCCTGAGCTGAATATAGTTTGAAAAAATGAGGGAAATCACCCACCAGCCATTATACATAGGTTGGGTCTTTAAGGTCTCAGCTTCAAAACTTCTGATATTACGAAGTTATTGAAGATATAGACTGGTTATGTACATATTTTGAGATTTGACAAGACTTACAATGTAGTGACAGTCTAAGGCGATTTATATGCTCATTAATTCGAATGTGTAAGTTTTAAAGTTCACCAAGCAAGACAAAATATGTATTTTTCAATACTGTGCAAATGTTTGAATTTGAATGTTCCAAATACAATGTATATAATTTGTTATAACAAACTTTTACTCAAGTTCGCGGATGGAAACAAAAATTGATTGGCTACCCCTATATAACAGGGTCTTTTTTGTCTGTCAGGCATTTCATTCTGCTAGAATATCGCCTCTTTAGCATGAAAAGTTGACAAGTAAATTTTAAGGCTTTGGGTCAGAGTACCGCATTGCAACATGGCCAGCGATTGGCTGAACAAAGTGCAGGGAAAACCATATGATTCAATTGGACATGAGGTGATTGGATAAAAATGGGGTATTGGATGAAAATGGGGTATTTTTAAGTATAAAAACTAATTTAGAAAGTAACACTGCATTGTTTTCTGAAGAAATTGAAATATTTCATGACTTGGATATTTGCATTTATGAAAAGTGTATGTCAGTCCTATGATCAGCAGAAAATTTAAACAAAATGGAGGGGGGGGGGGGTAATCCTCTTTGAAGTCATTTTGCAAAAAAAATGGTTGGCTACCCCTATATAACAGGAACATTTTTATGTGTCAGGCATTTCATTCTGCTAGAAAAATCACCTCTTTAGCATGACAACTCAATTTTAAGGTAGGATTAGGGACCATCCTTTGTAATGTGCAAGTCTATGGGAAAATCAATGTGAGTGTCTGACCTTTGGGACCTTTTCTCATAATGTGAAAATGGGAAAATCAATGTGAGTGTCTGACCTAAGTAATGGAAAGTCAAAAGTTTGATACAGTAATTATTGGAGCAGGGTTAAGTGGCAAGTAATTTATTGGCTATGATTTGATACATTTATACTAGATATGTAAACTAGACTTCAAAATATGTTTAAAAAATTATTTGCAAAAAGGAAAATATCAAATGTAATGTATTTTCGCGACATAAACATATCCCAAACTCCACAAAGTAATTAAATCACTGTCTTCAAAAACTTCGCTTGTCGTTAGGAAATGGCATGTTACTTCAAAATGAAGGCTACTTCAACTTATGCCAATGAAACTGTTTAATCTGTTTGTGAAAAAAACACAAAAAAAAACCAAACAAAAAACAACAAACAAATTACCAACAACACAATGAAACATAAAAATGAAGGGATACAGTGTACTGTATCTCGATCTTGATAAAGTCACACGTGTACGTTTACTTAACTAGAACTCTACAAGTCACCTTGTGAACAGTACTGTATAGTCGCACTTATGCATTTTTTCTTAAATATAGGTTATTATAAACACTGCTCCACAGGTGCTTGAAACAAACTTTTGTATGTACTATATATGGGCTATATACATATAGAGGCCGATTATGTAAAATATTTGATTATGTGACTAGCGCCTGTGCACTGCTCTTACAATGTACATGTACCTTTAACTTAAGTGGCATTAGAACTGATTGTTACAAACAATGTTACATCAGGATTAATAAAACTGTTATATTATCAAAAAAATAAATAAATACCATAGACAAGTTTTTCACTGACAGATCAAATGGAGGACTCTGTGATGGATTCTTAAGCATCGACTACAGGTCAAAGCAAAAAAGCTTACATACCAAATTTGGAGTCAATCAAAGTTACCAAGTTATGCTCTGGACAAGCCTATTAAATAAGAAAATTAACAAAGGGCAATAACTCAAAAATCATGAAGTGCAGAGTACAAATTCCTCTTGTAGAAGCACTTCTTCTCAGTAAGGATCTATTATCCTAAGAAGTTTCAAATCAATAGCTTTTAAAGTGTAGGAGAATTGTCCCAGACAAAAATAAAGCATTATAATAACGAAGGGCATTAACTCTAAAATCATGTAGTACAGAGTACCTGTTTTTGTGCACTGCATTTCATCTCAAAAGGATCTATCATCCTATGAAGTTTCATGTCCATAGCCATTGTAGTTTAGTGATGAATAAGCCCATGCAACAACAAAAAAAAAACCTCATGAACTCCTGAAAAAGTTGCTGATATTTCCATTCAATTGGGTAACCTGGGAATCAAAACACTGATTAGACATCTTTTTCTAAGGGTAGATTTTCTTCCCTTTTATATTCTTTTTATAGAATAAAAATCCCAAAATGCCAAACTAAAATATAATTCAGATAGAACAATTATAAATGTGTATACATGTAGACCTTTATACCAATCAATGTAAAGTCCTTCTATATTCTACAGGTTTTATTATCCCCGATTGAAAAGGCAGTGGGGGATATAGAAATAGTCTTCCTCCGTCTGTCCTTTTGACCTTCTGTCCGCCCGTCCATCCCACATTTTTGTCCGGAGCATATCTCAAAAAGTATATAAGGTATCAACTTGAAACTTTATAGGTGGATATATCATATTGTGGAGGAGTGAGCTCAAAATTTAAAGCCTTTGAGATATCAACATGAAACTTCATAGGTTGATCCCTTTCTCAGGAGGTTTGCAGTGTTTAAGAGTGATAACTCTACCCTTCATAATTTTTTATTTATTGCCTTTTGTTATTTTTCATACTTAATTTTTCACCTGAGTGGAGCATAACTCAAAAAATCTTTAAGATGTCAACATGAAACTTCAAAGGTGGATAGATCTTATTGAAAAGGAATGCTGTGTGCAAGAATGATAACTCTACCCTTTATCATTTTTGAGTTATTGCCCTTTGTTATTTTTCATACTTTTTGTCCAGAGCTTATCTCAAAACTATATTTCAAAATTGATGATGTGATGTCATGATGTGATGACGTCATAAGGAGAATGCACGACGTTAGGCGGCAAAATCAGTAAAAAATACTTAAAATCACTTAAAAGGCATGAAATAAAAAGAAAATTTATTTGTTTTACATATAAGATTGAAATATATTTCATTCGTGACCACCAGCTATTCTATTTGCACTTGTGGCTACGCCACTCGTGAAAATATTGCATCTGGTGTTCACTCATTTCAATCTTACATGCAAAACAAACAAATATCCTCTATATAAAGCAAATGATGTCACATCATAATATATGCATGGCAGTGCAATACCATTTACAGAGTCACAAAAGCAGCATGCGTATGTGATAATAATGTTTAATTAACACTTTGTTATTTCTTAATCTAAGGTCTTTGTGCTGCAAGACAGTTACAGAAAAATGGTGAGAAGGTTTTGGTGCTGGAAGCCAGAGATAGGGTTGGTGGAAGAACATATACTTTAAAGGTAAGATCAAGTAAATTATTGAAAGAAATGCTGCAGTTTATGTGATGACTTTATTCAGCAATGGGCTGTATACAAATGAAATGCAGTAATGATGTAAAAATGAAAAAAGTTATAATATGAATAAATTTGTGATTATTAGATGTGTATATCATAGAAAAGTTCAAGAACAGTAAATATAATTAATGAATTTAGCATCATTTTAATGAAGCTTGATCTTTCTAGTGCTTTCTAGTCCACTTAAAGCAGTCTTACTTTGACTGCTTATTGGCTCACCAGAGCCGAAGGCTCAGGGTGAGCTATTAGTATCAAAGGGGGATGCTCCGGCGTCCATCGTCCGTCGTCATGCATCAACAATCGTCTTGTTCTCTGAAACTACTAGGCAGATTTACTTCAAATTTGGTCTGTAGCATCCTTGTGACAGTCACACTTGAATTTGCTCATGTCATTCCAATTGGCCCCTTTTAGGGGTCAGCAGAGCTAAAAATAGAAAAACCTTTAAACATCTTCTTCTACAGAACTAATGTATGGATGATCACCAAACTTTGTCTGTAGCTTTCTTGGGTAGTGTTTTATCAAGTTTGCTCATATTAATTTGGAGTGAGACTAAAAAAAGGATTGGAGCACCACACTAAATACCGTATTCCGGTATATACCGTGCAAGGCGCTTGAATCATTAAAATTGCTAAAATCTTGCTTTTTACCCCAACGGAAATGAACTTTATAGGTCTAATTCAAGCTTTTCACAAACGATTTAATGTATGATATTGAATGAAAAATGTAAAAATCGGTGAAAAAAACGATATATGTCTATTTTGTGATCATGATTTCTGCAAGCGTCTGGAGGTACTGCTCCAATCCTGTATTGAGTTAAATCCATTAATTTGATTGGCCCCAGGGCTTAAAATAGAAAAACCTTTAAACATCTTCTTCTACAGAACTAATGGATGGATGATCACCAAACTTTGTCTGTAGCATTATTGTGTAGTCTTTTATTAAGTTTGCTCATATTAATTTGATTGGCCCCATTTAGGGGCTGCTTAAATTAAAAATAGAAAATACGTTTAAACATCTTCTCCTACAGAACTAATTAATGGATGATCACAAAACTTTGTCTGTAACATTCTTGGGTACTCTTTTATCAAGTTTGCTTATATTAGTTTGAATAGCCCCTTTTAGGGGCAACTAAAGCTAAAAATAGAAAAATGTTCCTTCGAACATCATTTCCTACTGAAATAATTGATAGATGATCACCAAACTTTGTAGCATTATTATGTAGTCTTTATCAAGTTTCTATTAATTTGATTAGCCCCGTTTAAGCTAAAACTTAAATACCTCATGTCATGGCATTTCTTCAGATTATTGTTTAAACATATTCTATGCTCAAATTTAATATTAGAATATATTTACATTCCAACACTGAAAAGCAGTTGTTTCTGGTGAGTGACTCAGGGCTATCATGGCCCTCTTGTTATTTTAATTTTATTACATTTCATTTTTCTGCAGGATGCTGATCATGGAGCTATTGACCTTGGTGGGTCATATGTAGGACCTACACAAAACAGAGTATATAGAATATGTAAAGAGTTAGACCTGAAGTTGTACAATATTGATGAAAATGACTACACTGTTATGGATTTAAGGGTATAAAATCTTAGATAATGATATTAATTTATTATCTACATTTGATGGAGTATTTATAAATCTGAAACAAGTTATTAATGTTTCTTGATAACTTTGTCTTATAATATTATGTAACTTAATTGGATTCCACAAGTGTTGTGTTTAGTCTTCAAATTTCATACTACAGTGGAGCCTTGCTAATCCGAATTTATTCGTTCTATTTTCAATAGTAAAAAACCTTTCGGATCCGGAACCTGTCTACTCCGAATTCCGGACGATTTTTTCAATTTTTTTTCTTATTTTATTCTAAAATTAACCTCTCGGATCCTAACAGATTTTGTCAAATGTCACACCTACATTCAAAATAACAAATAATAGCATATCTTGCAGGTGTAAACATCAACGCCATTGATTTATGTGAGACTTGCGGAAAAACAGTGTTCGAAATTAGCAGTAGTCTGATAGCCCCTGACTACTAAATTTCTCCTCGGGCTACCAACTTTTCACAGTAACAAGCCCGACCAGGCTACTG